ATAATCGTTTGCGAAAATTATACAGTAAAATTAGAAGATTCCGAATACATGACCCATGGCGATGGTACTCATGTACAAAGATAAATGCTGACTGTACGTCATGAAGGGACACAATACGATCAGGGAGTAGCTTAATAAAATCATCTCATTATAAATATAAAAGCAATACATAAATGAATAAGATTAAGTAGAGGAATAGAAACTAACCTAACCAGTGTTCAAGGAGAGAGAGAGCACAAAGGATACACGGGCTACACCGGACCAGATCTCAGAGCTCTGTCAACTCGTTTTTCTTGTCTTTAAGGCGAATTGTCTGGTTCATCTAAGAACGCTTCCTACAGCGCGAACAAGCCGACGCGAAGCACACACTCCCTGAAGACAACTACCCTGATGAATCACATCTGCCAAACACAGGAACGGCTGCTACACAGACGAACGATCGCCAAGCATGCAGCATAGCCTCAACACACATGTTAGAGATATGAACAAACCTAACTTCAGCGTGCTTCGAGTTCCCTTCCTGTGTCTGACTCACACTGTATGGTCCGCCACCTGAATCGCACGCACTAACAGCACGCAGCTCAAAAACTACAGTCGCATGGTCTTAGGGTACCCTCTGTTATTCTGATGCACACTGGAAACCAAGCAGATCTGAATGTATAAATGGACACAGACTACTCAACAAGGCCCTGGCCAGCATCATCCCGAACCAGGCTGCCACACGACTGCAAGCACACGCCCGCCCCGGCCCCCCAGCCAGATGCAAGAGTCTCTTGCACTCGTGCTACCGCCCTGTAAATGTCTCTGTCTTTCTTTTGACGTACACACATTTCCTACATTACCAGACATGCATCAGCCCGGTACATCTTCCTGCCCCTCTCCTTTAAAAACAATCCCCCCCGCAAACACGTGGGAACAGTCAAACAGAGGGACGGGGCACCGAGAGGCCGCCCCGGCGAGGAGGACGCACGGGCAGACGCGGGCGGGCCCCCAGGCAGGAGGCAGAGACCCACGAGGCGAGGCAGGAGCGGCAGGCCCAGAAGGCCCCCCCAGGACGTGGAAGACGAAAAGCCCACGCGAGCGTGGGAGTTTACCAGTTCTTGCTCCATGATTACAGAAACGAGCAGAGAGCGAAGACGCTAAGCAACGTGGAACGCAGCAAGATTGGGGTCCAAGGATACGACTGGGAAAAGGAACCAACTACGGCATGTGAAGTGGTGTCTGCTTGTGTGTGTGTGTGTGTGTGTGTGCTGTGTGTGTGTGTGTGTGTGTGTGTGTGTGCTGGTGGTGGTTGTGTGTGTGGTGTGTGTGTGTGTGTGTGTGCGCGCGTGGGATGAGAGTGTTATGGAGAAAGAAACAGCTGGGAGGAGAGCGCGTTTACTGTCTCAGATTCAGATGTAATAAGGCAGCCTGTTGTAAGAGGAATAAAGTGAAACTGGGGGAAAAAAAAGAAACGGCAAAGAAAACCTGAGGGAGACAAGCTACATCATGAGTACAGTGCTAACTATCACATGTTCCTGTGTCTCTAAAGTGCACCTGCACTGCAGCGGTCATGTCACTAAAGCCTTTTGTTGTCCTAATTTGTCTTGTGTCCATTTTGTGCCTTCTGATTTCAGAGCTACAGTTCACGCAGGACAAAGTAAGATGGCTACATGTGTACTTGCCATGAGACCATGAGTGGTCCTTGTGTGTGGAAATTAAAAGTGACCCAGGTTGTCGTGATTGCTCACTTCTAATTAAATCAGCAGCTCTCTTCCTGCACTAGGCCTGCTGTTAGATATCTCATAATTGTAGCTTTGGTACCTGGCTAACCACCAGTGGAGAGAAGTCTCTCAGGAGATGCTGACAGTAATTGCGCCTTCGTTGTTTGAACCAGGAACTGTGATTACCAGCCTGGAAACACTTTTGTACCGGTGTTTTTGGTCAGTAGCCAGGAAACCAGGCCATTTTTCTCTGGCCTCAACCATTATTAATTCTCGAGGACGTGCCACAGATCTCCAGCAGGCGCTTTCACAGGATGTGAACCCATTTGCTAACCTAACAAGCAGGGCCTCTCTGAATGGAGAAAGATTTGGTTCCTCTGCTAAGTCGATGTTTTTTCTCTGTAGGACAAATTAGCTGCTTAATAATCATTCAGTGAGTAGCAGTTTCTGTCCTGGAGTCTTGTTGCCGATTGTATCTCCTAATGGTTGCTCCGGCAAGTACAAAAACATCCTCTGTACTGTAATTAAAGTGGCTTCTTAGAAAGGTTCTATTAAGACACAGGCAGAAACAGGATACATTCAAAAATAAAAAAGGAAGTTTATAGACCTGATTGTCAGGGTTTATACTTTTACCGTTTTGCTAGTAACCCCTAGTGTGACACACAACAAGTACTCAACAAATGATATGTCCACATTTCTTGGACGTGAGACTTAAGCACAACACCGGTTTCAAAGACGTCTTCCTCATCAACATCATCCCGCCTTGTTCTCCAAGTAACGCAAGACAGGACAGAGCTGCAGTCAAGCGACACTAAGAATTTTGTAAATCTTGGGTAAACTCTGCTGGGAACCGGGAGCGTTTAGCATAAATCTACAGCCGCCCTGGATCTCAACGTCTCAGGCTTGGCTGGGGATGAGAGGCACTCACATAGCAAGGATCTACAGTACTACCCAGCAAAAATAACACTTTTCTGATGATCCGACAGCAGCAATACAATTCATGTGTACTTGCAGATTTTCAGCATCAAGATTACAGTTTGGTGACACACAAATTTAAAATTCTAACATGTCATCTCTTGAATCTTTTTTTCTCCACACATATATAAATTACATTTTGGTTTTAATGAATTTAAAACCAATTTAAAGTTTTGTGATCTTCAGTCTGAAATGTTTTTCTTTCAAAACAGTAGTTAAGGATGAGCACATTAGGCTAGATGAGCTCATGTAATGTGAGCTGGTCAGCCACACATATTTGGACACAAAGGCAAGTAACAGCTAATGAGATCAGAGAAGGGGAGAAGTATGTGAGGAACAAATCTGAGAAATGCCAATTAGAAACACTGTGAGCTGTCTAGTATTTTCACAGTCTGTTCAGCTGCGGAGTGTATCCTCTGTACAACACAGCGGGACAACATTAAACAGAGTGGCTTCACTTGTGTGCAGCAGTGCACACAGACACACACCTGTTGCCAAGGCTGGGGATGCAGCTGATTCGGGCTGCTGCTTGTTTAATGTCGGAACAAGTGCGAGGATTAATCATACGGCCTTGTTTTTTGTCTAGAGTGGTTACTTTGTCTTGTTATTTCTTTGTAGTTTTGGTAACGTCAGGGAAGGTCATTCATCTTCAGCAAAAAATGACACCATTCCAATGATCGGATTAAAATGCAAAGTGGTTATTTTGCACAAAATTGGGATTCAAAGCAAGAGAGGTGCACGGTTCCTGTGTTTTACTCAATTTGCATGTGTCTGCATCATTGCCAGTGGCACTAATACAGTATGAAGTGTGGGATCACAGTATTAGTATCTCCTCAGTGATATGACTACTGGAGAAACTTTTTGAGGAGTTAATTGGCGTTGAGTCTTGTTGTATAAGAAAGATGAGTAAACAGAAAGCCTGGGTGTCGAACAGGATTCATGTCCAGAACAGATTGGTGCCATGTTGACTGTCACAGTGAGAGGGCAAAGCATGGGGGTCTATTTGGTTTAATTTCATTTCAAGGCGTTTGATTTTCTGCTTTGTAGTTCACACATATTTCAGTAGTTTGATTTGATGACAGCTTTGTGTAACACTGTATTCCGTGTGTGCGATTTGTTTTCAGTGGTTTTTAATATTTTCTACAGAAAACCACATTTTTAATACTTTTCCAGTAACCTTATTTTGTAGGCCACTATGCCCGGCTAATTTAAAGCCACTATGTGTAATTGTAATCTTTGTCTTCGTCTTGTTAAAAAACACAATTTTCTCCTGCTCAGAACACACAGATCTGCATCCAGTGGTAGAAAGTAACCACACATCATGTATTTATTCAAGGACTGTACTCAAGTACATTTTGAGTATCTCCATTTTACGGTACTTTATACTTCTACTGCACTACATTTCAATATTAATATGAAATACCTTATTTATCTTTTGCTATTTCACTATTTTTATTAGTTACTTTTTAAATTAGGCTTTAACATAATAAAAAAAAAACATGATAAGCTTATAAATGCACTTTTAAAGATTAAACAGATTAAGATGAAACTAGCTCCACCTGGAGCAGCTACAACAGTGAAAGGGTACCTGAATATTGATGTGTCAATATTAAAAACCTAATAGGGAAAGATGTATCCCTTTTTCTGCAGAATGAGTACTTTTGATACGTTAAGTACATTTTGCTGATGTCACTTGCAGCTACCACAGGACCTTTACCAATTAGACTGGGTCTAGGAAGTAAGTGGACCTGTGAAGTTCCTTGGGTTGGGGTCTGATCTGGTTGAGGGTAGTGGCTCACACAGTGTCTTTTTTGAAAGTACCATTGGGCAGTAAATTCTACACATAGTGGCTTTAACATAATTTACCCTGTTCACTATAACCCTCATTTATACCTTTAATTTCAAGTACTTGGGAAGGCAACAGAAATAAAAACTGAGAACACCATCTGACCATTGAGGTTTGACCCTCCCTCTGTTAAACCTCAGTCTACAATATCTGCTACTCCATGTAAACACTGACTGCTACCATGCTGCGTGGACACCAGCATGCCTCCTGTACACTCCATGTTGCTACAAACAGGGAATCTGTGGCTTGAGCACTCCGCTGCACACAGTAATTCGAGCAACTTGATGCCAAAACTCTTCATTTGATACGTCAGTTCCTCTCCTGAGCTACACTTGTTTCAGTGATGTGGAAATAGGAGAGACAGAAGAGGACAAAAACGTAAACATGTTTGCCTGTACAACAATGTAGCTCAATAATCACTAGTGCTCTGAGTGCAGAATAATAAACCACAAATAGATAATAAATGAACACTGAAACATGCTTTACGTTATGTGGTGTCAAATAAGAACTCTATAACAGTTATATAGGGTGTGATCAAAATGATGGACAGGTCATAAGACGTGTTTGCCTTGTATTTAATTCACAGGGCCAAGTGTTTTCATTGTAAGATGAGTACATAATGTCCTATGCCAAATCTTAATTGATCGATGACTAAGCACCCACTGAATCATCAGTGTTTGCTGTTTTAAGTGTTCTCGTTGCCTGATGTGTCTGAAAGATCGAATCGAAGTGGTCGATTTTCAGTGGGAGTTGTGTACGTGTGTGTGTCTGTAGCCACCAGCAAGCAAGCATACCTGGCAACAGAAAACGGTTCTAACGGGAGGAAAAAAGGGGGCCTCATTCTTACAGATTGTCACAGAAAAATACCGGTGAAGACGACATTTTTTTCCATTTTTTCCTTGTTTTGTTTATATTTTTATGAAGTCATTTTGTCTCCCGTATGAGCGCATGCCACTGTCCCAGTTCCAAAATATCTGGCTGGCATCGGCCCGACTTTCCTGTCTTCATCCTCCTCTTCACCCGCCACCGGCCGCAGCACTCTGTCCCTCCGGCCCTGCCCCACAACACCGGATCCATCCAAAAGGGAGAGAGGCGAGGCGGGATGTGCGGCCCCACTGCTGACCAGTCAGAACTTGAGCTGTTGTTTGTTTTGTTACCTTTTGTTGCTGTTTAGTTTATTGAGAGCGCAGCAGTGGGGCGAGTCTCTGGCTTTTTCCTGGCCTCTGGTTGGCCAGGAGAGGGTAAAACGGGGGGCTGGGTTATGTCTCCTCCTTGCTGGGTTTGCTGACTGGTTTCCCACCGTTCATGACCACTGGTTCGCTGGTTGTGCTTTTGGAAGGCGGGCCCCCGGCGAGCTTAGGCACCGCCTCCCCTACATCGTGCAACGAAGGCTCTCGGTACATCGCAACTACAGGTGTGGCGGGGAGAAAAGAAGAGGATGGGAGAGGGGGAGAAGAGACAGTAGCATTGGGAAGAGAGGAGAAGAGGGAAAGAAAGAGAAGGGAAGAATAGAAGAGGGGTAAAAGAAAGCATCCAGGTGGATAAAGGGAAAAAAAGGGATGAAAAGGGGTAAAAGAGAAGATAAATGAAGGGGAGGAAAAGGCGTGTCTTTACTCTGTAATGCAATAAAACTAAACATCTGCAAACATTTGAGTAAACATAAATCTGGTCTAAAACCAAAAATGAAATGAAAATAAAACAAAAGATAAATGTGTGTATATCTTACCTTCTATAGGTTTAGGCAGGAAGTGTGCAGCTGGTTTGGTCTTTTTGACCCTGTTGCCTTTCATGGCCTGTCCCTCTTTATTGAGGCCCAGAAACCAGGCCCGGCCCGACTCCTTCTGTCTGTAGAGCATAGAGCTGTAGATCACATAGTAGTTCTCGAACACCGACTCCTTAAACTTACACTCCGCTGTAAACAGTTCCTGAGGAGACAGACGGACAGACAGAGAGAAAAATGAAATGAACATTAGAGAATGATATTTTGAGACGTTTTTGTCACACGATGAAAACTTCTGAACAATATTTTTGCCATGATTAAGAGTAATGAGTTAGTCGCAGCTATATTAGCAGCTCCACAGGACACTTCAAGCACATGTTCCGTAGAAGAGAACCTGTTAATAACTTTATTTACAAAAATAAACTGAAATCAATAGAAAAAACAAAACGTTGAATTTGTTGTTAATATCAGCCTGCCGATATGTCTGTCAATATAGTAGCATTACTGTAAAAATTACTGGAAATACTTCACTGACCCCATTTTTTAAAAAGTAAATAAATATCTATACTACTACTTCAAAAATAGTTCCTACATTGTGTTTATGCAGAAGAACAAATGACAGCCGATTATATTGTTAACGTTATTTGATATTGTATCAGCCTCGAAAATCCATGATTTGTGAGGTTCACCCATCAAACCCAAATCCTCTCGCACGTAACTAGAATGATCCTCTGATCTAAAATATAATTCAACCACGCTGACCACAGACAGGGAGGAGCAGCACAGCAGTGACTGAATGATGTATTGCTGTAACCCATGTCATTCTCCCCCGACACTCTCTCTGTAAGCGCATGAACAACAAACTAAACAGATAAAAAAGCAGATTGATTCTGGTGACACAAAGCTCCAAAGACCTCACCCTCCCACCCACATCAGCTCTGCTGTTATGTGTCAAAACTCTTTTCCATGGCTGCCGGTGCCTCCAGCGGAGCATATTTCAGCACAGAATCAAGGTGTTATTCTTACTGGGAGAAAAATCATCTCTCCCTGGTGTCCACTTGCACTACTGAGTCACAGCAAGTGTAAAAGGCAGCCTGACATAAAACATTCTTCTTTTGGGGAGGTCAGAATCAAGGCGGTCTAAGAAGTTCTGATTACTTAGAAGCAAACTGCAATTTCTCAAGCATTATTACATCTAAAAGATAAAGTTTACGTCAATAATGTAGAATTTTTAGTAGGTTTCTACTGTTTTTTAAAATAACGTCAACACAGCATGAGATCAGTCTGGGATAGCAAGCATTCCTATTGTAGCTGCAGGTAATAATTATCAATAAGTCTATGGATCCTTTTGGTAAATGACACAATAATTGCGGATTCAATATATTGCGATACTGTAAGCAAGGCGATATATTGAGATACTATAAGGAACACATCATCATATGCATGAAATCTGACTTTCTATGTAACCAGAACAGTGAGATCTGCTTTTGTATTTATAACCGTCCCTGTAACATCCAACAGCCATCAGTTTATGTTTTTAACACTGCTACGTAGCAGTCGGCTAACTAATTTAATTTAGTTTTAATAGTCCTTGCAATAAAATTGGATTGTTTTTCAGCCAATATACCAAAACACAAGTGATAATTACAATACTGAGATTACATGGTAATAAAAAAGCAAAAGCAAAATAATAACAGTAAAACTGCAACAGTTAAATACTGTATGTAAGATCCTTGCAGTACCTAACTGAACTATTTAGTATGTCTTTAAAGATGTTTGAGGGATTTTCAACAACACACAGTAATTTAATGCTGCATCATATGAATTTTTGGCCACTTGGGGGAACGGAACATGTTGAAAGCACATCTGACATATTATCACTCTATGGTAACTGCCGATTCACACATCCAGTAGACACCGAGCATTAACATTCATTTGGATGATTTGGATGTTTCTGTTACCATGACAAATATTCACTCTTCTTTAAGCTCTGGTTTTGGTTTTCATCAATTCCTCTTCAACTGCTAGAAGTTCAGCTTTCTTCACCAGCTGGTCTGGAACTTGCGTGCCTGCCATTTGGTACTTAGGAGGCAGATGGGTTGTCAGCCTTTTTTTTGGGAGAAAATGGCTAGAAATAAAAGGAGTTTCTGGGCCTGAAAACCAAAACAAGTAGATAAAAGAGGCTGAAACGCTTTGTAGAGCTGAGGGGAACTGCAGAGTTGTTGATAATTTTCTGTGGGTTTGTCACTATGAGAGTGAGTCACATTAGACATAGTCAGTGGTCAATTGTAGATATAAAGAAAATATTAATTAATGTAGCTTTAACTAACCCTATTTGATGTTGCTACTGTAATATTGCATCACTATTATCTCCCCTTGTATAACAAGCATCTTTCCTTCTTTATGAGGAACCCTCATAATCATTAAGCATACAATGACTGACACATTTTTCATTGAGACAATTGCCGAGGAAATGAAAAAATAGTGTTAATAAACTACTCCTCATATGGCTGAGGAGGCTCCTGCCAACCCAAACAATCGCCCCGAGGTCCCCAGACCCCAGATTGGGGAAGTGTTTGTCTAGACTGTCTCTTATTGGTTGTTGTGGGCCTCTTGCCAGAGCCACAGACATATTGTCATTCAGCTCAGGTCTGTCGGTCCGAGTCTCATAGCAACATGAGGAAGAGAGGCGACACTGTAGCCGTGGCAACCAACCAGCGCTGAGAGGGAGGGGTCAGTGGGTGGCTGGGTGTGTGTTGGGGGGCTGCAAGAGCGAGCGAGAGAGACAAATACAAACACACAAACACTTGCATTGGTAAGGTAACATATAATGTGCTTTATCTCACGTTCACCACATCCACTCAAGCTAACATAGGAAGACACTTATTAAAGGCAGGGTTGGGTGGCACCAGAACACAGCTGCAAGGGATCAGACACTGGCACACACACACACACACGCACACTTGTGGCTCTGGGGAATGAATGGAGGGAGGTGCAGGAGGGCTTTCTGGGATATGAAATGTGACTAAATGAACAAGACAGGTTATAATGAATGGATGCTCTATTTATTGGCAATGTCTCTGACACACACGCAAATCAAATGTTCTCCTTTGGTAACCATGGTTTTGATTTGTATTAACAGTCTGGTTAACTCTGTAGGGCTTAATGTGTTTCACTCCTGGACTGAATTAACTTAATAACATATATTTAGTCTTGACCTGCACCCCGGATTCATTATTCATTTGTTAAGGAGGATGATCTTTGCTGGTGTGCGGAGAGCGGTGCCAGACGCTTATTAATGTTGGTCAGCGAGGTCACGCACATCATTTAATGCTGCTTTTAAAATAAAAGGTGTTTGATGTCGAGGCAACTCTCGGCCTCGTCTGAAGAAGAAATATTTATCCCCCGACTTAATTCAGAGGGAGAAAGTGAACTGTTGAAATGACTCCAGATGAAAACCTTAGCCTTACAGGTGAGTCATTTTAACAGCACTGGGTGCCTGAATGTGCTTCTGTCGTCATTTCTAAATAGCCATGTTCACAAGCTGCCCACAGAAAGAAGTCAGGGAGAAAGAATGAATGAAAGAAATGGGGGGTGGTGGTGTTGTGGGGTGGGTTTGAAAATTGGGACATGAAGGAGAAGAGAGAGAATAAATCACCCAGTGAGGAGGACAACGCCTCCTGATTGGAAAAACAGCAGGGGATTCTCTCTCTCTCTCTTTCCCTCTCCCTTCTCTTATCTTAGCATTTCTCTCATCGCTCTTCTTCTCTCGCTCTGTCATTTCTCTGCAGAGATTTAGTGGAAGTGAACACACTGCACACATGTGTGCACATTGTTATCTTTTGAATTACACACATGCATGCATCCATGCATCCTAGCCTGAACAGCAGCTGTTTTTTCAGGCGGCCGTAATCAGATAGAGAGGAGCCCATTAACATGTTAAACATCTTTCTCCAAAACACACTAAATTGATACAGGCAGCACTTTGTCCCCTTGTTCATTAAAGACCTAAAAATAAAAAACTCAAAAACAGAGTGGGAAAAGCAATCCTCAACTCTTGGCACAGCACAAGGCTGCACTAATAACAACACTTGGCAACTAGAGCCGCTCAGTGCTACCACAGCTTGACTGCTGGCCACTGGGAGCTTCCCAGTAGAAGCACATTCGCAATCAACTGGTGAATAATTATTGTTCCAATGTGTTTTCTTTGGGCTGCTGTAATGTAACAAAGCCCTTCAATCCACAGACAATCACATCTTGTTGAGCAGACCTGGATGACAGTACACTCTGAAGGCAGAGTTCAGGCCTTGCTGACCAGGGCAGCTGCTGAATGACTGAGGTTACAACAGGTTCTCCTTGCAAGATCTGACTCTGGGCTTAACCTGTTCTGTCATACAATATGTTGTTTGCCTTCCAAAGCAACCCATAAGAGTGTTTTTTGTTTCCATTATTGGGGATTTGTTTTTTGGTCAAAGCCTTCCAAAATTATTAGAAAAATTGTTCATATGACGTTTTTTTCACTGCTACAGTAAAGAAAAACGATTTAACGGATCGATTGCAGTCATGGTAAGAAGAAAACATTGTTGACTGATGGTTGAAAACTGAAAATGTCCCATCCATCCACCCAGATCTCCTCCCTAAGAGGTTTTGCGGTGGTATAACAATCCCTAGACAAAAACTAGAGGGCATTATTGTCAGATAAATGTGAACACATGTAAACATAGGATGTTCACGGACTCGGAACAAACAACAAATACTGTTGTTTCTTTTGTCAGGGCAGCTCCAAACATCTCTTTGCTTGTTGTGCCAGATCCTGATACTTCACTTCCCTTTCTTCTTGTGAAAAAGCCTTAATATACTGTCATTCTTTGCTGCAGCTGTGAAGTTGAAAAATGAAAATGTCACACCAAGCAACCTCGCCAGTGTATTTTCAATGCTGACAGTGCTACAAAGAAGAGTTTGCCGTATTCCCGTGATCAAGGTTTCTAGTTTGGCAGTTTTTGAAAGACACCTGAATGTCATTATTTTCTTTTCATTAAAACCTAGAATTATTTATCTTATAAGGCTGGGTGATAATATTAATATTATATATATCACAATATCGCATGTGTACAATTACATATAAATAATCAATCAGATATGAACTGTGTTCCACTGTTACTGTTGGCCAGAGCTCTTCAACTCATGTTTTTAATTACCACAATA